AATTCTTCCGTGTAAAATATGCATAATCTTTGACCTGATTACGGTATCATCACCTAAGTGCTGATTTACTGCGTTAAACTTCTTGTCAATGACAAAAGACTCAATCTGATACTATTTTAGTATCCCAGCACTGTTTTAAGGCATATTTTCATCTATAAGCAGCTTTCTCATATCAAATAGTATGCCAATTTCCTGCAGAAAAAAAAAGCTCGTAACTTGCTTCAGAATAACGCGCCGCAGCTAAGGACAGCACTATAAAGTCTCATCTCAGAGCGCGAATCTAATCTCCTAAGTTCCCTTGTAAAACACTAATCTTGAACTATAATCCGTATTTGAAGATTAGCTGAGATACCCGGTCTGTCCGGCACCACATCCATTTCGGTGTCCAAAATAAAAACCGAAGTTGTATCTCTGAAGAAAGGAGTACAATTTTGGTTCAGCTGTACCGTTTTGTTCCTACCCTTAGTTTGGCTGGATATCCTAGGTTCTTCTCACATAACATCAGTAAGGAGGGATAGCCTAATGGCAGCGGCTCAGCAGATCCTCAACCTGAAGTTTTTTCGCTTACCTGGAGTAATTTGAGGAGCTGATTCCGAAGATGCACCTCGAAGAGCGCGAAAATGGCAAAAACCATCATTTCTCAACGTCTCCCACATTGGTTATATTATTGGTTACATTGCGACAAGCCTTCTCTGACGTGTCAGGGAGAATCGCAAGCTCGTCCGCGCATACTAGAATGGCTTGCGCGTAACGGGGTTTTCTAGGCAAGGGCAGCATGCCGTGCGCTCGGAGCTGCTTTGTTCCCATGTTTGGGGTGCAAGCAACCTTCCATGTCAAAAACTCAGGATGTTCGGTTTTGCGAGCTGCTGCCTTTGAGTGAGTCTATTCAATATGTTTATTTGTACACTCATCATTTGATCATCGCTGTTGACCTAGTAAATTGCTTTGGATTTCTGTTTTACCATTTTCTGCTCTCTTTTCCATTTATTTGGATATTCTAAATACGTGCAACAGATAAATACTGTACTATACAACAGCGGGAACTATGATAACGCTATGGGATACACAACCTTAACCGCGTCCCCTTCCGGCGCATATATGTACAGATTCGCCGGACTTCCGATCCTCGAACACACCAAGTACAACTGACCATGCGACAAACAAAGAGTTTCTAAATCCACTTCTACTGTTCTCAGAAACTGATCTCGCCCTCTGTTGATCGTCCGAGCGAGTGCAGGCCTTGTCGGATACTGCAGCGCTTGAAGTTGGAGGGCTTATCGGATAAGATCAAAGGAGTGCGCCTATGAAGAACAAAGGATTCGGCGTTTTGACGATTCGGAGCGCGGCAAGACTTCATACCAGAAACGTCATGCCAAACGTCATCGAAGCGACCATATCAGTGGGAGAGTTCAAAGGTGACGTTGTTTTTATTCTGCGCACTCCTTTAATCCCATCCAATATGCCCTCCAACTTCAAGCGCTGAAGTATCCGACAAGGCTTGCACTCGCTATGACGATCAACAAAGGGCGAGATCAGTTTCTGAGAACAGCAGTAGTTGATTTAGAAACTCTTTGTCTCTCGCATGGTCAGTTGTACCTGGTTTGTTCGAGGATCGAGAGTCCGGCGAATCTGTACATATAGGTGCCGGAAGGGGACGCGGTTAAGGTAGTGTATCCCATAGCGTTATCATAGTTCCCGCCGTGCATAGTACAGTATTTATCCGTTGCACGTATTTAGACATCCAAAACATGGAAAAGAGAGCAGAAAATGGCAAAACAGAAATCCAAAGCAATTTAACTAGGTGAACAGTGGTGATCAAGTGATGAGTGTACAAATAAACATGTTAAATAGACTCACTTAAAGGCAGCAGCTCGCCAAAACCGAACATCCTGAGTTTTTGACATGGAAGGCTGCTTGCACTCCAAGTATGAGAACAAAGCGGCTCCGAGCGCACGGCATGCTGCCCTTGCCTAGAAAACCCCGTTACGCGCAAGCCGTTCTAGTACGCGCGGACGAGCTCCCTGACACGTAGAAGGCTTGTCGCAATATAACTGCGGGGTTCCGCAACGATTCTGACTCTCTATGGCGGGACGTGCTCCACTCGTCCAAATTCAAAATGGGAGGCGTTGGGAAATGATGGCTTTTGCCATTTTCGAGCTCTTCAAGGTGCATTTTTGGAATCAGCGCCTTGAATTACCCCAGGTAAGCGAAAAAACTTCAGGTCGAGAAACTGCCGAGCCGGTGCCATTAGGCTATCCCTCCTTACTGATGTTATGTGAGAAGAACCTAGGATATGCAGCCAAACCAAGGGTAGGAACAAAACGGTACAGCTAAACCAAAATTGTACTCTTTTCTTCAGAGATACAACTTCGGTTTTTATTTTAAACACCGAAATGAATGTGGTGCCGGACAGACCGGGTATCTCAGCTAATCTTCAAATAAGGATTATAGTTTAAGATTAGTGTCTTACAAGGGAACTTAGGATATTTAGATTCGCGCTCTGAGATGAGAATTTATGGTGCTGCCCTTAGCTGCGGCGCGTTATTTTGAAGCAAGTTATGAGCTTTTTTTTCTGCAGGAAATTGGCATACTATTTGATATGAGAAAGCTGCTTATAGATGAAAATATGCCTTAAAACAGTGCTGGGATATTAAAATAGTATCAGATTGAGTCTTTTGTCATTGACAAGAAGTTTAACGCAGTAAATCAGCACTTAGATGATGATACCGTAATGCCAGCAGGTTAAAGATTATGCATATTTTGCACGGAAAAATTGATAACTTGCTTCACAATGATGTGCCGCAGTTAGGAGCAACATATTTGGAATCAGCATTCGAACTTAATCCCGAATATATGTGCTTCATCTCAAGCAACACAGGAAACGGGAAATGAAGTGTAGAAGAAGGCACAGGAAAGGCTGTACAGGGGTAGGGATGGGACCTTTATTACAGTGTTTTGACAAGGCCGAACGGAGTCGGGTAAGCAAGCTAGTACAAACATACAACTTATCATTGGCTCTTAGATTAGTATAAGGCGTCGTGGCAACTCAAAGCAACGACAATACTCTAGTGGAGGTTGACAAGTTTCTTCACGTTCTTCTTTGCCCCAACTGTGACCCTCATTTATGCCGCAAAAGGCAAGCTAAAGTGTGTTGGGGCGCAGTAACTGTCAAAGTCACTTCAGCAGTACCCGCCACGACCAAAGGCACAACAACCCCAGAAAACACAACTCCATATACAAGCATCTTAACAAACAATTTTTTGACTGGGGCTGTAATTATCCCAGACAGCGCTGCCCCAAGGAGTGGGAAGGCCGCTAAAAACGCAAAGAACACAACCATTATAACCGCTCCATTACAGGCTTTAGCTAAAACCACCAGAAGGACACCCGCGACTAAGACCGAAACTACAGGACCAGGTACCGCTAACAAGGGAAATCCCAAATTAAGATGACAAACTGAAATGAGCTGCTTTTCATTGAATGTGCCTTGATAAGCGTTTCCAAATCTATCTTCCATGTCAAATCAGTTCTTTGGAAATGGTATTAAGCGTTCAAAAGTCTAAATTTGTTTTAACGCCACAGTTAGTTAGTTTTTAGTTTTTAGTTAGTTGTCCAATCATTTGTGTTTTCGGTAAATGTGAGTAGCCTTTGAAAACAGTAACTCAATATCATGATAATCATGCACTACCAAGTTGGTTTTAAAGCAATTATATTAGGTTGGCACGAAAGTTCTTGCGTAATTCAAACAAAATTCGATAGTTTTTCAAAGACTAAACCTAAATTCACATTCTTGTATGCTAGAAATAACAGAAGTGTCACGCTCCATGACGGGAGTTCAAGCACAACATTCCATGAGCTAGCCATCGAAAACGAAGCTCTCAAATATGGGGCTTCAAATTTTGCGATTTTGAGTTTGGTGGCAGAAAATCGCAGAGGGCCGCTAGCTAGCCGAAAAAATCTGTAGAATTTACTTACACAGCAAAAGTCTATACGTTACTTTAGCAGGCTTTGAGCATGGAAATGCGAAAACAAAAAATTTGTGAAATTTCTCATTTCATAGGGCAAATCCCCTTATCGCTCTAATTTTTCCACAGAAACACAGTCTGCACTCAGAAATTAGACATAGTGCCTATTTAGAGCCTTGGACGTTTTCTTGATTGTAAAAAAGTGTTTTCGCCGGAAAACTGCGGGCATGAGGGGATTTTTTCCGCAAAGTGACATATTTCACAAATTTTTTGTTTTTGCTTCACCGTGCAAGATCAAAGCCTGCCAAAGTAACATATGGACTTTTGTTGTGTAAGTAAATTCTGCAGATTTTTTCGGCTAGTTAGCGGCACTCTGCGTTTTCTGGCACCAAACTCAAAATCGCAAAATTTGAAGCCCCATATTTGAGAGCTTCGCTCTCGACGGCTAGCTTACGGAATCTTATGCTTAAACATCCATCATGAAGCGTAAGGCTTCTAATATTTTCAGCATACAAGATTGTGAATTTAGGTTTACGTAAGGCTTCTAATATTTTCAGCATACAAGATTGTGGATTTAGGTTTAGTCTTTGAAAAGTTATTGAATTTTGTTTGAATAACGCAAGAACTTTCGTGCCAATCTAGTACATTAAAGCCCCTCCCCCAAAAGCGCGTCGCAGATAAGAAAACAGCTTTGGTAACAGCTCATCAATCCGCATCTAATGATATGCGGTTTTCAGTTCGCCACACTAAGTTGGGATCGTTTCCTTGTGAGAACTTCACCTATCAAAGCTGTCAGTTTGTCTTCTTAATTTTGACAGTCTCATGATAATCCTGATTACGAAGTGGTAGACTGTTATGCTTACGCTGATTTTGCTTTATGCCTTTGGTTGAGAAGCGATGTTTTGATTTATTCATTCAAGCCGAACTTCTTACCATGAAAAGCATAACATACCTTTCTTAAAACATTTGTCGCATTTGTATCAGTCATAGCAGGATTCTCATTGGTTGCAACACAATAAATAATACAAAACTTCAGCAATCTATTTCGACATCTCTGGTATCACTAGGACTTGGAAGATTGGTACCCATTGTGGGAAAAGCGGAACTGCAGAAATCCGCCGTGAAATCAAAAAAGCTGAGAGAAACTTCGAAGAATTCATGAAAGCCGTGAGTCTCTAGTCGAGGTTAAGTCAAATTTTTGACGATAGACATGTAGATAATAGACGCTGCCAAAAAACAGTCAATAAATCCTAAAGAGCTGAACATTGAGATTCACTACTGGCCAGTCAGGTAAGCATTTTTCAAATGGGATAATAATTATACGGCGAAGATATCTATGCAGGTGCTGCGTTGGAGGGGAGTCCACTGTATGTTATATAGAGGACGTAACCAGCAGAAAGTTTAAGGAGGACGTAAAGGTCCTGAGCAAGAACTATGTTCAAGTCTGGGGGGAAATCAGAGTAAGTGACTCTCTCTGCTCTTCATTAGGTTTGCACACCTTGTGATTGCTTCTTTAATGTTCCTATGCCAATGTAGGCGAGTTTCACAACATGCGCTGTTACTATTCATGAGAGTTTCCTCTTTGAGAGGCTCATCAAGCTTTTTTTTACATATTCTGCTTCTGACTGTTGCAAAAAGGCCCATAAAGAAGTGAATTTGTCACTTAACGCTCTACATTCGAAAGGATCAAAGCTATGCTTGTTAGTCATTTTCGATTTCCCGAAAATAGCTGGGCAAGTGACCCTAACTTTTGAGAAATGATAATTAGCGCTTCAAAGCGCCTTTATTGAGCACAAGATTTGCAAAATGACGGTTAGAAACATGCAGAAATAGTGACCCATGGTTCGCGTAAGTAAACTCAAAAACTAGAAATTATCAATCAATCTATAACTCGTAGTCCGCGCAAAAAGTCCTACAAAGCTCTCACTATTTGGATGTGTTTGTCTCAAAAAAATTCACTCCATTGAACAGTTCGAAGCTGGCCGGTACTTGACACTAACAAAACTTGAGAAGGAGAGAACTTACCTCTCGGATGAACCGTGCTTGAGCTAGCGACTATCACAGCTGCAATCTTCTGAGAATGTGCTCGTGGCAGATAGTGCTGGAGCTTATAGGCGACATGCCCTCGATGAACATTCTTCAAGTGCCGGAATTTAGGCAAGCCCTTCTGTTCGAATGACCAAGAAAAGATGGCGACTATTGCTTGGCGATGCTGAAAAGTATCTCAGGCTTAAATCTTCAACCTTCGCAACTGTGTCCTTATCGATGCATTGACTGTAAAATCGGCATTCACTTGCGATAAACATTGGACATAAATGTTTTTGACCCGAATACCAGAACAAAAGCAGTGCATCATAACCATAGTTGTTACAGTTTGGATATATGGTGGAGCAGCGCGTTCACACAGCAACTGGCAGTTTATTAGTCAAATGAGGAGAATAAGGAAGCAGACAGATTGATGAAGTGGAGGCCAAGATAAGATTCCTAGAACGATGATAAACTGCCCTTGCAATTTGGCACGAACTTTGCGAGGAGAACTTCCGTCATTCTATCGGCAACTGGGTTAACTTTAAACCTTTGTTTTAAAGCCGGTAAGCGACAACAACTCAAAACATTGATATCGAGATAACGAAAGATTAATATTTTAAAATCACGCGTTGAAAGGACATGAAGAAATTTAATTCGTGTTTTAAAACTGCTAGGGGATTGTTGATAATCGTTTGAGCTTGTTGAGCGTCGACCAAGATTTTAGCCACTTTCTTCACGGTCAACGTTTTGCGGCATCGCCTAAAGGAATAAAGTGTGGCTAATATCTTGGCCGACGCTCAGCAAGCTCAAACGATTATCAGCTATCGATGCCAAGATTAATAAACAACCGAAGTTGGAGACAATGTTAGGGGATTGCTCGCTCACATCTGTTTCAGTAGGCAAACACAAAATTGAAAACCTACTGACAAAGAGGCGGCCAAAAAAATTAGTTCCACCTTTGTCTTTCAAAATTATTGAAATTCGGTTAAGTAATATTGAGGCATGTTCACTCGTAGTCACAGCAAACCCATACTAGTTAACAGCATAATTATTTCACTGCGAAGGCGTCCATTCTCCAAAAATTTATTTTATCGTAAAGTGATAATACCTATGATTTTATCACAGAGGATAATGAGGCAGATCAGCTTGCTTGACATGCAACATAGGAAGTCTAATTGCCTTGAAGGCAACGTCCGGGCAAAATTCGCCTCTCATGTTTCTGCCATTCTGGGGCCTTTCCGTGGCCCTGATTACAGTTGTAAAGTCGAAGTTGTTCAAAACTCCCAAAAAACCCGGTTCTGGGGAATCCTTTCTTCAAAACGTGGACGAGTTTCAAATTGCTCGTCCCCATCGTCATGCCAGCGGGAGGAGCTGGAACTGCACGGATGCAGTTGCATTGCAGCGTGCAGTGCAACTGCAAGGCAACTGCAATGCGAAAGCACCCTGCGTAAGCGCTCGCCCTCAGGGGTGGTTTGTGATCGAAGAGGCGGCTTGATACGTATCACAGGCCCGTATCTCTTTTTAGAGGGCACGTCAAAGGGTTGGACCAATGCAGATCGGATACTCAAGGGCCCCTCTTTACAACTATGTGATAATCTGGGTGGATGGATCTTGCCTGGACGCTGCCTTTAAAGGCACTGTCCACCCAGATTTTCGACTTCCACGTTTTTGTCGTTTCAGGGCCTTCTCATGTACCTGATTCCGAATACGAAATAATGCTCGAAAACCCCGACAATCCCCGTTCCGGAGAACCCACAGGCCGGCTTTCCAGAATGGTGATTGGATGGGCGCGCACAAATGGGCGGGCATGGATGGGGGTCCTCGTGCATCTTCGCTATTCCAAAGCGATTTTCTCGCTTCCGAAGCGGCATTTTGCGCCGCGACTTGGGCATTGGATTGATAGAGGGCTCTACTATTATATGCTGCCAAAAGCTCAACACCATCAACTTAGGGTAGACTGTCTTGGCCAACAATAGTAACAGCTGGGTTCCAACGTTTATTGATCGACCAAGTGTATGTTAGAGAAAGCATGATGAATTATAAGCACAATAAATCTCTTCATATTCCAAGCCCTCGCTTTATCTCGGCTCTTCTTTTATATCCTTCGCAGCGGCCCTGCCTTCCTCATATCGTGAGAATCACGACACCCTCATATCGTGAAAATCACGACAATCCGGCGACGGAAAGATGACGTCTCGAGGCTAAAGCTCTGAAATGTGGCCGAACTTGCGACCCTTGGCTGAACAGAATCTGTTAAGATGAAGACGCCGGAGTCACTAATCGTGACTTGAGAGGTATTTGTGCTGATTTTTCTTGGTTTTTTAACTTATTCATTGTTGTTTTTATTTATTTATCTGTTTTTTTTGAAAACAATTGTTGAGTGCAAAAAGGAACCCTTTTTATGTAAATTGAAGAATTGGAAATATGCGTTTATTGGAAATTTACATAATGAATATGCCGATGGATATCACAAAGAATCATAAGAAGCTTTTTGCGTTAATTGCCTGTGGTCTGAATGGAAATTTTTTTCTTTCAAATCTCTTCTTGAAATTCTGCCACCTTTCGTTTTTGCTGTTAGTGCGGTTTGAAATGTTCCTCATTTCCGTTTTGAGCGTTTTGCAGTTTGCGTTTCGCGATATCGCTTTTTGAGGTTTTGCGGTTTTTGCGGTATTCCTTTTTGCGGTTTTTGCGAAATTCTTTTTTGCGGTTTTGCGTGTGCGTTTTGCGATATTCCTTTTTGAGGTTTTGCGGTTTGCACGTCGATATTGCGCGTGGGCTTATGAGTAAGTCCGTAAAGTGATTGTTGAAAATAAGTCGATTGCTAAAAAAAGAAATGCTATGTCTTCAACGCTTGTTTGTTGTTTTGCTTTGTTTTTCCCTCTTACATATTGAATTGGTACTGACAGAAGACGGAGTGATGTCTCGTCATTTCTGACAGTCGCATTGTCTTCTTACAGAAAAAACAGGTGTTTTTTGGTTGACATGAAGTGGCTATATGTGTGGCCGGGCCTAGGCAGCGCTCGCATCTGTTGAGTTGAGCGATGCGCTGCCTACGCTCGGTCAAGGTGGAATAAATAGTACAATCAGTCGACCAGTGGCAAGTACCACAAAAAATGCAATTGGATAGTGGTACCTGCGGATAAATTGCCTGGTTCTCGTTCTGCTGGACCTGTGGACGCTTTTGTTGTTGTTGTGGTGGTGGTGGTAGTGCCGACGATGTTGGACGATCGCACTGGACGGCCGCAGACCTCTGAGCTGCTTCTGGCATGTCGTGAATCCAGAGAACGCAGTCTTCCATATGGTCGACTAGGCTTTCCACGGCGCCCTGAAATCGACGTTGATTTTTGTTCTTTGTTGTTTAAGTTGACTACCTTTTTTATTTTTTGTTTTTGTTCTTCATGTTCAAATGTGTGTTTTCGTTTTCGTTGCAGCTTCAAAAGTTTGCTTTTATTTATTTCGTAATGCTCTAATTGTTATGCTTACCCTGTGCAGCTTCATTTCTCTTCTCAGTTCTTTGATATCGTGTTGAATTGCTGATATCATTGCGCGCAATTCGCCGGGGCTGATCTCCGGTGAATATGCCCGCTCATGGCTGCTTGACCTTTCTTTCGGTTCTTTCGAGTCTTCTCCCGCATTACAGCACTCGTTATCTTGCATCTCAACATCTTGAGAATTTGGAATTGGAATGTGCTCTTCCGATATATCTGAAATTTGGAATTTTGAGAGTTGAAAATAACTTTGATTTGCGTAAAATATTACGGCACTACATGTGTGAAATGCGTATGAAAAGCCTAAAAAGACTATAAACGCAAAGGAAGGGTGTGCGCAAAGTTAGACGGATCGTGCGCATAAGAAGTCGAAGTAAAAGAAATGGAAGCTTGAAAGGCAGAGGCATTGCATATTGTAAGATATTTTGATAGATATTACGGCGATAAGCTCTTTGACTTGAGCTATGTTGCCTTTCTCGACATACCGTGGCAGTTGCGATCAGCACAGTGATAAGCGTAAGAAATACGCATGGTGAATATATGATGTATTGTTTCATTATTGAGAATAACTCGGGTATGTCTGGTAATTCTAATTTGAAAGTTTCGGGCGTGTTTGTTTTGGTGTTATATTGTAGTGTTTTGATATCATAAAATGGAAACATACTTTTTATGAAATGTAATTGTCCTGTTATTCAGAACCAGCGCGTCACCTCCGCTTCCCGGAGGTTCGCACTGGCTCCCTATCCGTATGCCTTTCTTATGTTTGCATGAGAATGGCTTTGAAACTCACCACGCGATGCTGAGCACCACAAATGAATCGTAAACAACTGGTCTTTCATGAAGCATCTCCATGTAAGATCGGTAATTCTGAGAAAAAAACTTTCTTGCAAGGAAACAAATCGAATTTGAACGGATTACTGGATTTATTTTAGTTTGATAATCGTCATAAGCATAACTGTCACCTTGAACTACATTTCAATGCAAAAATCTTTTCAGTCTTTCCAAATAAAACCTTGCCAAATCGACTATCTACGCTTTCATCACTTTTTGGCGCTGTTTTCGCAAAATAGCAAGCTTTTTGAGCACTTTTTGGGCTAGAGTTCATGGCGCGCAGAGTTTCTTGTCAGGCAAATCATAACTTTGCAAAAAGTCGAATTACGACCCAGATTTTGCGTGCCAAAAGGCGCGTGGACCCGTTTGACGCGCAAATTTTGAGGGACCCGCTTATCGTGCCGACTCGTCCTTGTGCGTGGTGGGCCTACACGCTCGCACGGTAGGCTATGCAAAATTGCAGCCCGATAGCTTAGTTGCAACTTCTTCTATGAATTTCGTGACAGACAGATTCTCACACAAACACACAGACAGACACACAAAAAAAACAGACGGCCTTAGCGCGCTATTATAGTGGGATATTTGCTGATTTGTGCCGCAGTTTGCTAGACATATTTCATTGAAGACTGTTAGCGTAGAAGTGTATCTCGTTCGTGTATCCTGTTGGTGGACAAGTAATTGTGAACGATTGTGATTGGCAGTTTATTTCTGCTACAGCATAAAAGAGTTCAGCTCAGACAACTGAAAGCTCTCAACCGGCAGCCGTAAAGCCGTCATCAATCCCCAACAAAAGCCACCGTACCTTATCGCTGCCCTATGGATTCCCGCTGAATGCCATGTGGCTTCCAGATCATTGCCAGCTTGTAGCAGCCCGCTTACGTCCATTAAGGCAGCCCGCTGAGTGCCAGTTAATGCTGCTCGCTCACTGCCACTTGTGGCAGCCCGCTCACTGCCGCTTATCGCAGCCCGCTTACTGCCATTCACTTGCTCTCCTCGTTTTGTTGAGCTTTGTGGAATTCAACGGTTGGAACCAGCCTTCTTAAGCTTGATCTTTCACAACCTATTGTTAATCGTTGCAATAGTACGTGAATAATCGTATCAGCGATCTGCTTTATTCGGGATTTACTACTCCTTCTCATACTTGCATTGTAAACAGACTATTGATCATTTTTATTACTCAGCCGCTCAAACTGTAACAGAACGCATAACAACAACAAAAAAAGATACAGATAAATGAATAAACTCAAAAGATCACCGCACTCGAGAGGAAGGAGGATGTCCATGTAAGAAGAAGTTTGAGGTATCTGCTCTAAACAAAATATCCAAGATCTTAATTGACAGAGATGCTTCAACTTGCGTACAAATTCAGTCGACTACCCGCTTTACTGTAGACTCTGTTCGCGATATACTTCGTTTTGCACCTCTTTCAAATGCGGCTAGTTTCAGGTGTTTTTCTTCTTCGCTTCTGGAATTAAGTCGTTTTACAGATGTTATAAGGGTTTAAGAATTTTTCAAAATCTACTCACAGCTTATAGCTTACGTGATAACCAATCGAGTGAGAGGGAAGTTATGAGACCAGTTGCAAAACTTAGTTTCCAATCTAATAGCTCACAGGGCAAGCTGCATTTCTTTCAGTATTTCGGCCTTGTATAGATCAAAATCGGCTAGCAACTCATCCAACTTTTTCTGCAGCTCATTTTCGCTTTGCCCAAGCGCGAGGTAGAACCTAGAAAGTTGTGTATTGATCTTGACAACCAGTCTTTTAAGCAAGCTACCGTGACATTTCATGTGCCGCTGTTTTTCCAAGCCTTAATGCACTACCTCCTAAGCCGATCAAATCTAGCGCAAAATCTGAAGTCAGAGTCAGTACAATACTAATGTACTGCACGGTAGTAGGCATAACAACCTACCCATGAGCGTTACTTCTACTGTCGCAGGGAGATTTCGCAAGTGGCGTTCTCTGCCAGCCTTTCGATAATACCTTATGGCGTAATCTTGGATTCGCTGAGGGGGCTCCGTCAGCTGCAAGGTGTCTAATGATTAGACGTATTGCGCACGCAGAGAGACGTGAACCTGTTGAAAAATGAAGCGAAATAGGCGTGCAAAGTTTTGTTGGCAAGGTTTTGTGTCGTTGAAGGTGTAAGGCACCAGCATTTCAGGAATTTCCACTAAACGTCTCACTTGCGCGCGACTAGTGTATAACAGCTAGTGACAATTACGCTTTTGAATGGTGGTGGTGCTCTATTTTCCAAGTTCTTGTCAGGTTATTCAAAGACATACAACGTGCTTGACCATGTGTAATCGTTGCTTTGCGTATGACTCAAATGCACGCGCCAGCCGATCGTATTTTGCAATTTCTATTATTATCGCAGTAGCAAAAGCAATAATATACCATCAAAAAGTGAGCTATCGAACTCAGCATCGTGTGGTCAGACATATCAGAATCCAAGAAAAAGTCGTGATCAAACCTTTGGACCCGAAAAGCAGCCTCGGATTTGACGAACTCCTAGTTGATTTTTGAATAATTTAGAGTGTTTACGCCCAAAGACCTTTACCTCGTATACAGCTTTGTTGAAAGTATGAGTTCGTTTTGTGCTCAAGATCAGAGATGCAGCAGAGTTTGAATCAAGCGTTATTCCATGTATACAATCGTATAGCGTCTTGTGCTTCCCTGCGAATTGCCGTGGGCTTTCGACCTGATATAATCTTTGCTTAGAGGTTTTCAATGTTAGAGGATGTTGGAATGCGACTCAGCATGACCTACCAAAGGGCGATCACAAGTTCTTCCCTTTTGACAATTAGACGCTCGGTGCGGTCGTCGTTCTTCATTACACTAAGTAGGCTCGTTATGTGAAACATTAGAGCGACAGACTTACGTCAATGGCTGCAATTCGTGGTATACGCGCGGAGATCCGGAACCCGATAGTGGCGGTGTTGAAGGCGCACGCACAACCGATTGAGTCGCTTGCGAAAATGCTGACACGGTGCCAGTAGCTGGACGACGGGGAGCAGCAGCAAGTTTTGGGCGTGTAGCCATTGCTTTCTTCATCAGTAATTGCCTGATAAGCTCTCAGATTTCATGGCAAGCAATACCCGAAAAGAAGGTAGTTGGCATTACTAAGCAAGAATAATTTCAAACGAAAACGATACTTTATATTTATCGATACTTTATACGTAATAATTAGTCATATAACAGAGACATATGCATGACCATTGAATTCAATGTAAACACAAGGTCTTTGGATAGATAAAGCTGGGCGAACTTGAGTGCTTTTTTCGGTTACTTGTTGAAAAAAATGTTATGTTCTCGAATGACATTGATCAGCTCTATCCCTATATCTCGGAGAGGATGCTCAATAAAGTGATTATGGTTGTCTAAGTCTTGAAATGGGTCGCAAAATTTATACTCATTCAAAAGTACCCTCAAGGTGTTAGTATTACGATTATACAAGAACAATATGATGGACTCGAAAGCTTCAAAATTGTCACTCTTGCAGTAGATCATGTCTTGTCTACTGTGCAGAGATCTCGGCCAGTAGTCTCGAGGTCTGTACGGCTTTCCGTTGATTACCACTCTCGAGCTGAAATACTGCCCTTAGTATAATGAGTTCTAGCGATCTTACAAAGCCTCCTCACCCCACTGTAGAAAGTCTTTATGTGTTTCTTGAAGCTGCGCAGGGGCGATCCAACAGTGTGCAGGTATATACATGCAATCACTGACAGAAATGCCGACTGGAAAGCTTAAAATTTAAAATTATTTGTAGCAGCTGTATGCTGGATTTCCAAAAGGTACCGATTTCGATGCCTGTTTTCAAATTTCAATTTCAAATCCAAAATTTCACTTCTTCTATTAGTAGAGAATCTTTTTTCGAAAACGGTTCTCAATTTTTTTGATACGAGATATTTGAATGTCCAATGGAATTGTCCCAGCCATAATTATTATTATTAATTATTTATAACTCTTCATACCTTTCGATCATGGCACTTGGATTATTTCTAATGTATTGGTCTACTCTTACTTGGAGACGGGAATGGTGTCCCTCAAAAGGAGCGGACGACCGCATTGATATGCGGTTCCAGTCGATGCATTTCTTCACACATCGCATGATCAAAAAACCACTAAATGCAGATATCATCTATCGCATTATCACTCTAGCAGTCTTGAATAAGTACAAGGCCTACACATACTACACAAGAACATGCAACGCCTAACACAAAGTGAAAAATGCTTAGTAGGTCACTTCCACCAAGGGCATTTCAAATAGTGTTGAAACCCAAGAAAGTTAAGCCTGGAACTGAGCACGCGGCACACGCAAACGCCTAATCTTTCATGAATGTCTTATATACCACTTGCGCGCACGCTGCATTCGCTCCTTAGCCTCTTTCATTCGAGCAGTATACTCAGTTTTGAGAAAACTCATGCTGAAAGTAGGGAAGGGCACTGTGCTGATGATCCTATCGTGACCTCGCTGCCAAGTGTCTCTAAACAAGCAGGAAACTAACATGTGTTTTCATGGTGAAAACTTCCGGAGCCATAGTCATAGCCAATCTATAGTCGTTTTGTGAGTGCGGCTAACTCTTGGGACACGCCAATCTTGCCGGTAGTCAAGGACCGATAATCATGCGTAATCCTTATGCTAAGCCAGTATCCAAGCAAGGATATAGCAGCAATAGGTGAGGTTGTGATCCCAGTAGCTGCCGCAAGAGGAAATACAAGAAAGCCAGCTGAAGGTGCATTAGTTGCCATGTTTAGGTGAGGTTAGCATAGTACCTCGTCTATTTCTTTGGCTTTGGTCATGTTCAGAACTTCACGAGAATGAATTATGCCTCGAGCATACGTGTGAGTTGTGATGTGCAGAAGGCAGTTTTTCATCCATCAACCGCTTCCTTACATCTTAAAAAAGGAAACTTGCTCGTAGCGGAAATCATGTCTAAATCACAAGAATTTCCACTATGAGTGTGTGACCATTACTTCAAACCTCGCAATCTATCTTTTTCACACCCTCAGAGCAAACATGAAGCGCGTCTGACATAAATTGCGAAGGAGTGACGATTCGCATCATTGTAGTTACACCTACAAGCGAATAATGCTATTCACTGGTGACTAGCACCGAAACTCGCCTGGGACTCCATTAGTGCGGTTCTCACCGTCTTCAATAAAAGAGTGAGAGCTTCTCAGACTTTTATCATCCCCTTCTCTGCAGATCCATACTCGGTGATTATTGATACGTTCTCCAGTAATGTAACATTTGAAGCAACCTTGGTAACATTCCCAATGAGGGAGATCAAACAGCGCCCTTTGTGCCTAACATAAGAGTAGTGATTTGAAAAAAGCTGGGATTTGCAGCACTTAGGGTACTCAATATCATCGCTTGTTGGACCAGGTACCAACTTTTCAAGCCTTATTTTTAGAGCGGACAGCGGTTATCCGGAACGGTGTTTACACCCACCCCCATGTCTGCTATTCCTCGCTGTATTTCAACATTCATAACCCAGGCTACGTCGTCAACTAGTCTAAAATTGTTTTTCTTCAAGGTGCTATAGAAACTTTTGCAGTCACCTGCTAAAAAGGGTTTCAAGCATTTCTGAAGATGGCTTGGAAAAAAGAAATAAATCCCACAAAGAATAGAATTGTAGTAATTGTCCGCAACTGCTTTGTCCAAGTTATCGTCTCTTAGGTAAATAGGCCATCTTCACGTCTAAAATTAAGCAAGAGACGGTTTCTGAAGAAGATTGGTCATCAAAAATTGCCTTGTGTGCCTTTTTGGTACGAAACCATCTATTGATAACGATAATAAAATTTTTAGACGATTCCTGCCAAAGTCGTTCACACTTTCAATTCCTTGGTAAAAAGACTCGAAAAACCTCACGTCGCTTCGGTTTGAGACTGGTCCCCCCTGCTCGAATCTTTAGATATGAAGAAAGGAATGTCTTCTAAAATTAAACACCCTGTTTTGGTGCAGCTGACGATGAAAATGTATAATTTCGCGAATTTCATTCTCGAGTAGGTCGCTCAATTGCGGAACCATATTGATGAGATACACCTCGTTACGCTGCACTCCTTTAGCCCTCTTCAGGTGATCTGAACGACTGTATGAAATCTTATTGGCCTCATTGATTCTGAACTTACTTGTAAAGGGGACAACTTTTGATTTTCACATATCTCTGTACTGTCGCAACAACCTTTTGCAGGAAGCGCAAAAGATAAGTTGTGTTGATTCATACTCTGCCAGAATTTCTTTTCTCAATGGCATCACTTTGTCTTGGTACTAAAGAAGAAGACTGACGTTGATATTTTCTTGTTTGGTTAACGTACTTTAAAAGGAGGAGGTTTTCCATAGATGATTCCCCATACTTTTTTCATCATCCTCACTTCTTCCGTCGAAAATCCACAATGTTGCACGTAAAAAGCATAACAAAGAACTCGATCGCTAAGAGCTAAATAATTGTGTTGCTAAATAATCTTAATCCGCATTTATCAGAAAGTGTTTATCTTCTTACACAACTCTTCATCCTCTTCTCTTTCGTTGATACTTTCTAAGGGCTCCCCAAATACATCACCATCATGCTCACCGATATGCGAAACATGCTCACCTAAAGCGATGGCGACGAAACTGCAGTTAACAATTTATAGTTATCGTCAGATGTCTATAAAATCAATAACTAAAATTACGGAGGTTCCAACCTATGATTTTCACCAATCTTGAGTTTGGAAATTTTAAAAAATTTCCATTTTCAGCTTCTGGATAAGCATTGATAACAGTTAGATAGATCATGCAAAATGCAATACAAAGAATTTATTCAGTTTATCAACTAACTTTTCAGCATTTTTTAAAATAATTTTTCCAAAAGAACTTGATTTTGCGAAGTTGCGAACAAAATTGGTAAACCTGGTACCAGTCTGGAAACAATAGTCATAAAAATTTTATCTCCAACTATAAACAAATTACGAAGAAAAGAAGTATGTCAGAAAGATGAGAAAAAGCTGCATCGAGTGACACCTTGGTTGCTAGTCGTTTACTGTTTGAGGATTGGGATGCCCAAAGATGGAATTCGATGGCATCAGAAAAATACTTTTAAAGGTTTTGAGAAGCCAGCTAGAGAAGCCAGAAAAATGTATTGTGTTGCATTTTGCATAATCTATCCAACACTTTTCAAGGCTAGTCCAAAAGTTGAAAATGGAAATTTTAAAAAATAGCCAAAGTGAAGATGGATAAAAATCATGGTTGGAGATCCCTGCCGATTATTGAGCGAACATTGAGGGACTAAACAAAGACATAACCATTAAAAAGAGGAAGAAATTCTGCTTCAGCTTTTGTCAGTCTTTGTTCTAAGTGGTTTGAGCATGGGTCCGAAAAACAGCGCTAATTTTCAGACCGACCTAATATATTAGGTCGTTCCGAAAGTTCTTTCCGTTTTTTCAACCTACCATAAAAACATGTGGAATGAAGGTAGGTAAACGCTTCGGGCACTATCCTAGGCAGCTTTGCTTCCTCTTTTCAACTGTCATATTCCTGTGCCGCTTCCTCTCGTGATTAGTGAGATAATGGCCGAAATTCTGAACCCATGGTTTTTACCATGTCCAACTTTGGCAATTTTTCACAATCTCCTTCTTTGACTTTTGGAAAAGCTTTGATAGCAGTCAGATAGAGTAAACAAAGTGCAATTTAATGCAATTTTTTGGCACTCTTAACCGGCTTCTCAGTATTTTTTGAGATAACTTTTCCAGAAGTCTTCACTTTTTCTAAATCACAAGACACACAAACGCTCCGAACATTAACAAAGCTTCGGATTTCGACACTTCCAAAAATCGTTTATGATTGTCCACTATTTTTACAAAATAACTGAGTGTTTATCGCTTCGAAATATAAAATTTCGCATTTCACGTGTACATCCTCAGGCCGGGTCAAAATCAAGAATTATGGGAATTTTATCGCCAAAACCCCCCACAAATTGGGGAGAAAAATACTCAGTAGGAAGAGGAGGAAAAGCTGCATCGAATGATATCTTAGTTGTGCGCCGTTCTATGTTCTATAGTTCTTGGCATCA